ATTAGAGCCGGACTCTATGATTGCATGGAAACGTAGTTGGGCCGTGCCCTTGCCATGTAATTGTGATTTGCATGGAAATGTAGTTGGGCTGTGCCCTTGCCATGTAATTGTGATTTGCATGGAAACGTAGTTGGGCTGTGCCCTTGCCATGTAAATTGTGATTTGCATAGAAACGTAGTTGGGCCGTGCCCTTGCTATACAAATGTGATATGATGTATTTGACTTAAAGGATTGCATAGAAATGTAGTTGGGCCGAGCCCTTGCTATGCAATGATGATGTGATGAACTCTATGAGGTGTCGTGGCTTATAGTCACGGGGGATGGGAATGGTGATTTCTAAATGAACATGGGCCCACGGGCCGACTACTTGACTTTTATATAAAGTAAGTATATTTTCAAATGGGGTAACTTAGGGTTACCACTATATTGTATTATCACCCTATTTGAGGGTCTTGTGTTTGAAATACTTGTTGTATATCCCTTAGATGCCATCCACACCAGTACTTTATAGCCGTATAGAGTACTGACCCCTTCGGGGGCGTCCCACCACCATTTCAGGTTGAGGCTCGAGCTTGCTACCTGTGCCCGTTGCTCGGGTGATCCTTTGGAGAGAAGACGTGGTTCGTGCCTTCTCCATTCTGTTTTGAACAATATTAAACATGCTCATGGATATTTTACTATAGAGCCTGCGTGCTCATGAATAGCCCTGTGTGGCCCTTTTGTTTTAAACAATGTTTCCGCTGCGTTATGAATTACTTATTATGTTTGTTTATGGATGTTATGTGTGTGAATGATATTCAAGACGCCTTGTATAATATGAATGTGTTGGACTGCGGTTGACTATTCGTATTGTACGGTGGGTTGTTGACGTGTCCGGGGAGGTCCGGGGCGTGACACACCGACCCCTAGTCCACCCATTACCCCTCCTGTCACTACCCATCCAACTCCTCCTCTTGTCCAAAATGTCCATCCAATGCAAACTCGGGCCAAGGATGGTATATATAAGCCCAAGACTATTTTATCCCTTACCTCTGTGGAGTGTCCCCCCGATCCCACTTGTTTTTCTCAAGCAAATAAAAGTTTAAAATGGCGGGCGGCTATGGCTGAAGAATTTAATGCTCTCATTACTAATAAGACTTGGGATTTAGTACCTAGTGACAACACAAAAAATGTGGTTGGATGTAAATGGGTTTATAAGACAAAATATAATTCTGATGGGTCTATAGAGCGTCACAAAGCTCGTTTGGTCGCTCAGGGATTTAATCAGCAGCTGGGGTAGATTTTTCTGAAACCTTTAGTCCGGTTGTAAAACCCACTACTGTGCGTCTTTTACTTTCTCTCGCTACTTCGTTTGGCTGGGGGGGTTCGTCAATTAGATGTCAAAAATGCCTTCTTACATGGCTACTTAACTGAGGAGGTTTACATGCGTCAGCCACCAGGTTTTATTCATCCTTCCTTTCCTCATCACATTTGTCGTCTTCGTAAGGCCTTGTATGGCCTCAAGCAAGCTCCTCGTGCTTGGTTTCATAGGTTTAGTGGCTTTCTTCTTAGCCATGGGTTTCTACAGAGTCGGTCTGATTCTTCCATGTTTACTTATCGTCAGGGTTCTCATCGCGTATATATTCTTCTGTATGTTGATGATATTCTTATTACAGGCAATTCTTCTTCCTTAGTTCAATCCATTATTCAGTTACTTTCTCATACTTTCGCCATGAAAGATTTGGGTGATCTTCATTTTTTCTTGGGGATTCAGACTGTCCGTACACCTACAGGTATTTTTCTCTCCCAACAAAAGTATATTTATGATCTCTTGCGCCGTTTTCATCTCCATACAGTCACACCAGTTCGCATGCCTCTCCCTACTCGTACCACTTTATCTCTAACTGATGGAGAATTACTCGCTGATGGTACAGAATACCGCAGTATGGTTGGTGCCTTACAGTACTTGATTATTACTAGACCAGATATTACCTATGCTGTTCACTTAGTCTCTCAGTTTATGCATGCACCTCGCACTACTCACCTTTTAGCTGTGAAGCGTATTTATAGATATTTGCAGGGTACTATCACGGAGGGCTTATGGTTACACAAGGGTGGTGATCCCTCTCTTGTTATTGCTTACTCTGATGCAGATTGGGCCGGCTGTCCAGATAGCTGTCGATCTACAACTGGCTATGCTATTTTCCTGGGTAATAATTTAATATCTCGGCGGTCCAAAAAGCAACCAACAGTTTCGAAGTCTTCCACTGAGGCTGAATATAGAGATGTAGCATATACGGTTCAGGATACATTATTTATTCGCTCCTTGCTCGCAGACATGGGTTTCTTCATCTCCCAACCTGTTCAGCTTTACTGTGACAATGTTTCGGCATCCTACCTTGCGGTCAATCCCATTCAGCATGATCGGAGCAAACATATCAAAATTGACTATCATTTTGTGCGCGAACGTGTGGCTCATGGAGATTTAGTGGTTAAATATATCCCTACTCAGTTTCAGTTAGCAGATATTTTTACTAAAAATTTGTCTAGTCAACGTTTTAATTTTCTTAAGTCCAATCTGCGCGTTGTTCCCTCTGCACAGATTGAGGGGGTGTAATAGATAATAATGTAGGGATACTCTTGTAATTCCTTATTCTTGGATTATTATATATACATGCATAAGGCTACCTCATTGGCAGGCCATTCCCTCATAATCTTCATAAAGACATGGACATAAAGAAATTATAAATGTGAAGTTATGAGATAAGTTAGAAGAGTCCTTCCACGATAAGACCTATTAAATGTACCATTTATGCCCCATTAGACTACTCTGGCTTGATGTGTACAAATTCTTTTTGTACTTAAGGGATCGGATGGTCTCTTAATAAGAATAATGTCTTACGCAGTAGAATACCTTTATTGTCGTAAATTCGCTTTTACGTTTGGAATTAAGCTCCAAGTATATTCAAACTGTCTTATTTAATTTAATTATTATTATTACCTAAAAGCATGTCGTTTTTAAATGGAACTTTAACGCAGGATGGAAGTAGTACAAAGTATACTTGTACTAGCTAAAAATAGAATGTCTAGTAAACACACGCACCTACCAAGGAGTCAATGGTCTTATATTTACAAATAAAGAATTGTTTAGAATAGGAGTAAAATTTGTACAAAGTTCAAAAATATGATTGCATATATTTTGTTTTCGAAATAGAACTTATTAAAACTTTAAACCAATTAAAAACATGGTTAATGTTTATTTTTTGTTAGAAACAAACTTATTTACATAATTAGCCACTCGAGCAGCCACATTTAGAAATGACAGAATGAAATCCAACAAACTCATACGGAGAATTAAATTCCAAAACAGCAGAAATTCAAGATCATATTAAATTCCGTCCCTAAATCTCCAACGGGACACATTGGATTTTCCGGGCAAATTAATTATCGTTCTTTAATGCGGACACAACCACATATAATTTTTTTTTTTTTGATGGAACACACCCACATATAATTGAAAAATACGAAGTATATAATTCCTCACTAGAAAAAAAAAGTTTAAGAGCCTGTTTGGAGAACTCTGTTTTCGGCTTATCAGGCTTATCAGCCAGCTTTTTCACCAAACACGTAACTTTTACTTTCGCGCGCTGAATTGTGTAATAAGCCGAAAAAGTAAGGTTGGAGTTACTTTTCTGGCTGTATTGGCTGAAGTTACTGTAGAGGACCATTTTAGCTATTTTTACATATAATTTTTTCTTTAATTTATTAATAAAATATATTTTTAAAATATTTTTTTCTTAAATCAGCAGAATCAGCCAAAACAGCCACTCCAGCCAGAATATCATAAATTTCAGCAGAATCAGCCAAAACAGCCGATTTTGGTGCTACCAAACGGGCTCTAAATTATGAAAGAGGTAGAAGAAAATGTGAAGGTTCCCACCAATTCAAAGAATTGCAGGAAGGGGTAGAACGTGTCAGGGAATTCTTTATTCGATTCCCTTAAAAAGTAAAACAATAAAATACAAAAAAAAGTTGAATCCCCAAGGCCCTCACGCCTCGACGGGACAACACTTTTGAGGGGTTGTAAGTCACGGTGATTCAATCGACCTAATGTTGGTAGACCTTATACACGTGTTCATCAAAAGTGGAGCTCAACACACAGGAGTTGTAATTTTTACACGGTCGTTGCGGGATTCGATCCTTGGTCATTCCTCCAACATTTCCATTACTCAACCAACTGAGCTACCTGTGCGAGTATGTGAAATACTACCTTAAATAATTAAAGGAGAAGCCCAAAGATAAAATTGAGCTTTTATCTATATATGTGGTGTAAGAATGTTTTTTTTTGGATTATTTTCGATCCCAAACCAGATCAAATTAGGCTAGACCTGACCTAATCAGACCAAATCAGACCATTCTTTCATAGTTATATACTCCCTCCGTCCCCTTTTAAATGTCCCGAAAGAGGGTGACACGAGTTTTAAGAAAAGTGGATTTGTGTGGTTGATATTAATTGATAAAGTAAGTATAAAGTAAGAATAAAGTAAGAATGATTTTGAACCACACAAATTTTATCAAATAAGATATGACACAATTAAATAGGGACATCTCAATATGGTAAAACAAGACATTTAAAAGGGGACGGAGGGAGTAATACAAGACACCAGACATTTATCAGACCAGACAAGTTCAAACTGAACCAGATCAGACCAGCAAATTTTCGAAAGGAAACATTATAATTTCACATGAGCTTTGCAAAATAAAAACTATATACTCCTTCCGTTTCAAGTTATGACTCTTGATAGTTTTTTTGTACGTAGTGAACTTCAAAAGCATTTATTTCTAGTTGAAAGAGTAATCTATTTTTAGTTATGAATTGATTTTACAAAGATGTCATAAATATGTCGTATGTGCTGGTTTCCAATAAATTAGGTAGTAGTTGTTTGATATGGAGTTCTTCAAAATGAACCCATTCATGAGTCGACTTGTGAGTTGTGAGTAAGAACCGAGAATGAATTGAGGTTTGCTAAATTTACATTTGAATAAAATAGAATAAAGGGTCCCTGATGTAGTTGTAAGATATGTTGTACGCAGTATCCAATTAATCCAATTAAGAATAATAGTTTAACATTTAAAATAATGACAACAATAAATTATTGGTAATGACTTTTAATGTTTTCTAATGATTTTAAAATATACGACCACTCTGGATATAGTCAATCCCTCACTGGATCTGTACCCAAACACCGACACTAGGTATCTCTTGATGAACAACGAAGAGAAGATAATATCCGGCTGGAGCCAGATTACCCGAACCCGGCATATTCACATCCATTTGGTAGATATTTTGGTCCGGGCCGACCGAATCCACAGTCAAACTACCCAAACCCAGAAGTCTTTGGTTCATTGAGAACGAATGGGTGGCAAATGGTGGTGCCAATAATGTTATCCTCACCTTATCTCTTTGTATGGGCCCGGGTACTGTGAACAGAACAGAGACCCGTGACCCGTAACCAAACTTTGAGTTTCGGACGGGTGAAATGATTTGTGGGCGCAATTGGGCGAAAGCTGGATCCAAATAAGGCGGTGAAAATGACTCCAAACTTAAATCTGTGGGAAACAGATTTGTCGTGAAGTTGTAGGCTTTATAGGGGTTGCCGCCGCCGACAAGAACCCTTCCGTCCCGGAGCAAAATCGCCGACGAGTGATACATTCTGGGTCTCTTGCTCGGAGCCTGTAATTCGAATCGGGCACCGATTTTACCATCTGGTCGGTAGAGAACCGGGTTCAAAACCGGGTCTCTGGCATATTCCCAACCCGCTGAACCGGATGAAGCTCCGTTTAGGATCAGGACATTTCCGTTTGGTAGCATCACCATGTCCCCCATCAGTCTAGGAGAAGGCATCGTTTCCATGACCCATTGCGGGTTCGGGTCGGTTATTACGATCCGACCACAAGTATCCAACGCCCGCAGAAACGACCCGTTTTTCGCGCTCTCAAAAGCCACCGCCTTTGCCCCGCCGCAGACCATTACTTCAGCTGAGACCGTCGCCGGATCTTCCAAGTTCATTAACGGAAGGAGAACTGCGGATCCTGTACTCGGGTAACATCTCGGGTCTCCGGTGGGAATCTCCGGGTAAGTTCTGACCACCGTGATATTTCTGTAGTTGAACAGGATTGCTCTGTTATTTGCGAAAATGAACAAATTCCCGTCGACGTTTAGGAAAACAAACGGGTAAAGATTGTTTTCTGCTCTGTTTTTATAATAAGTTTCTTTCAAAAACGGCAGCGCGTAAAGCTGACGGGTTCCGGCGCCGGAGGGGTAAAATTCGTAGCTAAACGCCGAGCGGCCGCCGACGATGATTGTACGGCCGTCCGGTAAAATGTGGTTCGTCGCATACCACCGACGTTGAAGTAATCCTCCTTGGATTTCCTTCCAGTCGCATTTTCCGTCGTCGCAGGGGGGAAAGATTCTGACAACGTGGTCGCCGGAATCAAAGCCGCCGGTTTGGACGAGATTTCCGTCGGGAGTGACCGAGCCGGAGGAGCACCAGAAGTCGGTGCGGACGAGCAGGGGGCGTATGGAGTTGTTGGCGACGTCGTACTCGACGGAATGTGCACTGCAGTCGAGCTTGCCGGAGTCCGGAACGGGGATGCATTGGCCGTCCGGCAAGGAGATGTTTGAGTCGCCGAAGCTGTTCCGGTCAAATATGATTACTCGGTCGTTGTGGAGGAGCTGCATGTGCATGGCGGATATGCCGATGCTAGAATTTAGTAGGTCCCACTTTCCCGCCGTGGCCGCGGCGGCGGCGGCGGTGAAGAAGTTGTGTTGACAAGGTGTAAGTAATAGAAAAATCAGATTAAAAAGGACTGTGGTGAGTGGGGTTCTCATTGTGGTTGGTTGCATGTGGAATATGGGAGGGAAATTAAATGTCATATACTGATTATATGTGAAACTAATATCTGATTAATATTTATAATGAAGTGTAAAATTGAAATTAATGAGGTATTTAATGATAATTTTGCTTTCCCGTCTGTCCATTTTCAGTGTTGAAATTCAAACATTCCTTTATAGGATACTTGCTTTAATAGTTATGGTTTTTATTATTGGGAACGATTTGGACACAAACATTAATTAGAATGATTTATTGTTTTGAAGAATACTTGATACGCGTTCAAATTTTTTATGTTTATGGCACCAATAAGTGAAGAACTTTTTTCATTTTCTTTTTTGATCAATTGTATTAAAATATTACTGAAATAAATTTTATTTTTAAAAATATGAATAAGAATTACCATGATTAAAATTCACATATCATATTTGGACTATAATTTTCAACTAATATATACATAGAGGAAATTTCATGTCAGGACATCCAAAAACGGATCTCCGTACGGGCCTTGGCGTTTGGGCCCCTTCACGGTGGAATTTTATGATGAAATTTTTTAAGCATGTTCTTCATCAAGTCTAGTTTACTCATACCAAATTTCGGCTAAAAATTCCATCGGGAAGGCAGTCAAATAATTTTTGAAAGTTAACTGCATTTTATATGTATATAAAGTGCGCAGTTAACTTCTAAAAGTCATTTGACTGCCTTCCCAATGGAATTTTTAGCTGAAATTTGGTATGAGTAAACTATACTTAATAAAGAACATGTTTAAAAAAATTCATCAAAAAATTCCACCGGGAAGGGGCCCAAACGCCGAGGTCCGTACGGAGGTCCGTTTTTGGAGGTCCTGACAGGAACACTAATTCTATATACATATATATTTAAAATTTTATGTATAAAATGTTACTTCGTATTAAATTTATATTAATGTGAATATCCAAAATATTGAATTTTTATAATATTTATAAATACGTAATTAAATATATTTACATTCAAAGTTGTACGTTGACAAACATGAAACTCAAATTGTTAATGTTTAAAATGTTTTATCTAGTTAATTTTAGGACGATGTTTTTCGTATCGGAGTAATTTAAATTGTATTTCAATTTATAAATAACACAATCATCAAATAGTACATGCTCATATTATAACAATACAAATCCACATATAAATCTTTAATATGACATTGGAGCCAGTTAAAGTGGAAAGAACAATATATTGATAAATCTAAATAAAGCTATATGAATTACAAGATTGAGAGTTCATTTAGTGATTCTGTTTTACCGCTTATGAGACTTATCACTCAATTTTTTTCCTAAAAATACGTAACTTTTGATTTTGCATACTGAATTTTTAATAATAAGAAAAAGTAAGATTTAAGTTACTTTTCAGATTGTGTTGGTTGAAGTTACTGTAGAAGATCATTTTAGTTGTTGTTACATATAATTTACTCTATCAATTTTGTTAATAAAATATATATATATATATAATATAATTTTTTCATAAATCGAGCGAATTCAGTTACCTCAACCAACATATAAAAGCTTAGATTGTTTCTAGATCTCCTATTGACCTTCTAAGCAAAGGTTGAACAACATGTTGTAATATTAATATTTTTATAATGTACAGAGTATATAAATATATAATTGATGTATCAAATATCAAATTATTTGGAATAATAGAATCCATTTTGAAGGACAAATATTACAGCTCCGTGTGCTTTAATTATTACAAATATTACAAGAACAACCATCGATGTGTGCTTTAGTTATTTAACAATAAAAGGTAGATTAGCACGATCCGGCTTTATTTGCAACCACTTGTGCTTAAATAAAAGTAATTTTTGAGAAAAAATGATTAGTAGTAAAAGTTGGTACTGTTTTGTAAAATAGGTGTTTTTTGTGTAATAGAAAAAGTAAAAAGTAGATTCTACACGAAAACCGAGATAGTAAAAGTTGGTAGTGTTTGGTAAAATAAGTGTTTTTTCTTATAAAAAAAGCCAAAAGCACTTATCAACCGAGATTGCAAACAGAGCCTTATGGTTTGCCTTTTGTCAAAAGTACTTCCGCAATTCCACAAAGCTTAAATATATATACTTTTCTTAATTACTTGTATAATCAACTTTTGAAAATAGTTTTAGTTTTGTATGAAGTATATAAGTTCTATATTTTTATGAATGTATTTCTATGAAAGAATGAACATCTATATAATTTTCACAATTTAGTTAATTTCGTATTATTCAAAGACTTCATTAATCAAGTTATCCATTATTGGTCTAGAAAAGTCTATTAATCGTATTTAACTACCCAAATATTGTTATAATTTGCTACACCGCCTCCATTGTTAATCGTTTGTTTAATAAGATTCCAAGCATAGAGACGTAGAACATCTTCCAATTTTTGACCAAATTAAAAGAAAACAAAAGGAAGAGGATTTTACTTTCCATCTACCTTTCCTTTCAAAAGAAAAGAATTTGAAGGGATGGTTGAGAGTATCAACAACATTTCTTGTCTTTGTAGAAGTCCTTGGATGAAGGATGAGGCTGTTCTGATTCTGATCCTCTTTTACATTCAGAAAGAGCTAGAATACTAGTAACAAATGCGAAGTAATAACCATATCATAGTCATTCTCTCAAAAAAAACCATATCATAGTCATTTTATAGTACTTGAAATATCAAAATATAAAGACCAGACCAGACTTAAACAGACCAGATCAGACCAGACCAGACTTCTGTAATTAGATAATACACAGAGGTCAGACGTTTACCAGACCAGACCAGCAAATTTCAGTCCAAAAGAAAACATTTTTGACGGTTGGGTAACTTTTAGATTCTTATACTCCGTCTAAAATTAAGAAATACTCCCTCCGTCCCCTTTTAAAGGGAGATTTCAACAAGTAGAACCAAATCATACTAGTTTTTCAAAATTAAGACTATAAATTAGTTTAAGACTTAAGTGCACTTCTTTTGACCTTTATACCCTTACTTTAAATTCAATTAGCAGACCACAATAAAAGATCGCAAGACACAGGAATGGCCCAGACAGATCGGCATCCTCGTGAAGAAATGCTTTGACGCGGATCTGCAAATTTGCTTGGAGTTGATCCCCAGCTCCTCCAAAAGTGGTGGTTCGTCCTCGAAACTAGTGCCGCCGCCGCCGATAATGGTGAGAGCGAACTGGGGAGTGGAAAACGAGGTTGAGGCGGCCGCAGCGAACCAGCTTCCAAATCGATTTCACCGTCACCGACGCACCAGATCTATCAGTTTCAAATTCACACTGCTCCGATTGACTTCATCCCACCGCCGAAGGTTTGCTCTTCTTCTTCTTCTCCTTCTCCTTCTCCTTCTCCTTCTCCTTCTCCTTCTCCTTCTCCTTCTCCTTCTCCTTCTTCTTCTTTTCTGATTTTGGACATTGATTTCTTCCTACTCTGCAAAACTTTTGAAGAAACCAGATCCAAAATCAAACTTGAAAACACTAGACAATACTTAGACATTAAGTAGTCAGTAACCAGACAATAAGTTCTAATAATAGCTCAATAGCACGCAATATATAGACAGTAAGTAGTCATTAAACAGACAATAAATTCTGATAATAGCTCAACAGCACAGCAAGTAACGTGAAACAATATATATGTAAATTCACTATATCTAATGATTGATCCACATCGAGAGGTTGTTGAAAACTCCACAATGAAGCAATATAGGTAATCTAGCACTCTGTAAAATTGTCAACAGCCATTAATGGTTCCCTAGAATGCTTCTATTTGGATTCTGGAAATTGGAGTCTCGATAGAGCTGAATTTGTTGATTCCCAAGCAGTACAGTCCGAATTCATATGCAGGTGTCGAGCGTGGAACCATGAAAACATTCCACGAGAATGTTGAAGGAAGAAGGCTCGAGCGTAAATCTTCCGATCGTTAGCGTTGCGTCGTTTTAATTTGGGGGAGATCTAATAAATAGCTGAAGGGGTAAAAATGGAAATTTAAAATCAAGTTTCCCCAAATACTACTGAATAAGTCACACGTACTGAAGAAACAATTATATGTCTTATTTTTGTAAAATCCGTATGAATTGATCCTACACGGAGCAATTTTCTCCCTTTTAAATGGGACGGGAGAAGGTGACACGAGTTTTAAGAAATGTGAGGTTGTGTGGTTGATATTAATTGATAAAGTAAGAATAAAGTAAGAATGATTTTGAACCACACAAAGTTTACCAAATAAGGTATGGGGCAATTAAATAGGGACATCCCAATATAGTAAAACGGGACATTTAAAAGAGGACGGAGGGAGTACTCCGTATTGACAATGGAATGGGTAAGATCTTTCCGTCATTTGCGCATTGATGTCGATTGCTATTGTGAGGAGGATCTGGATTTGTTTGGAGTTATATTAAGGGATGCGGCCCATACAGATTTGGATTGGGCTATTGAGATTTATCCGGCCCAAACAAATTTAGCAACAGCTTATTTGGCTGAGTTGGGCCTGTCTGGAGCGTTTAAGTGGAAAAATGGGGACAACCTGCCATCTAAACTTCGGGGGATTATTAAATTAGACTCCTCTTCTCCTCCTTATATTTTCATTTAGCTTTGTGTTGGTTTTTATGCATTCCTTGTGCTTGTAAGAGGTTTCAGTACAGTCCCCCTCTTATTGTCATTCTTTTTGTTGTGGTAATAAAATCCGGTAAATGTCCCCCGACATTTACCCCACTGATTTTGGTGGTTTGCCTTCCGAGGTAAAAAAAAAGTCTATGTATATGCTGAAATGAAAACTGTACTTATTACGGCTATTAGCTCTTAATAGGACTAAAAGTAGCCCAAAATTCCACATTAGAAGTATACTCCTTTTATATGTCTATACTTTCTATTCTAACCCTCAACCTATAATTTCTAATACACTTATTTATTAAAAACAAAAATCATAGGTTTATATATAATAAAAACTTAAAGATTGTAAAAATACTTATAAATTAATAAAAATCAGGGGAAATATAACTAATATTAAAAAATTAAAAAGTATTTAAAAAATATAAAAAATCTAAAAA